TGTGTGTGTGTGTGTGTGTGTGTGTGTGTGTGTGGTTTATGCCAATAAAGGCAATGGAAAAGGTAAGGAAACGGCAATAGGTGAGAAATGTCAATAAAATTTTGTAATCTAGGGTTGATCAGTGGAATTTTAGGTATTTTTAAGAGGGGAAAGCTGATACCCAAGTGCTCGCAGAAGGGGACATCAATATAAAGTAAGCTGATTCTTACACCAGCACCTGGAAAAGCCTAGGAAATTCAGAAGGCAGCACTGGATGGCAGTGCCATAAACCTCAAGCCTGCTTGGAATCTGTATGTGGAGCAGATAAAACTCCCAGATCTTCTCCCCCAGGTGAGCAAAATCAGTGCAGCCCTTGTTAAACCCCAGAGGAAGAAGGATGGTAGGATCTCTCCTTGGGGAAGAAGAACCAGACTCAGGACTTAAGAGTCTATGAAGAGCTGAAGAGCTGTGGTGTACAGAAGTGGCAGAGCCCTTGCCTCCTAGGCATGAGCCTCTGGGATCCGTCTGCAGCACTGAAAAAATACATAAATAAAAAATTAAGAATAATTAAAGGTGTGGCTAACGCTAAAGGCAGGGGTAGAGCACAATGCTAACAGGGATAACAGCGAGTGACATTGAGCCTTCTGAGCCATGATACAGTTCTCTAGCTCTCAACCTGACCCCGTTGAGCACCTTGACTTCTACTGCCAGCAGGATTCCTTGCCGCAGGTAAATGGCTGGCCCAGAAAAGACCTGTAGACACTAATATTTGGGACCACAGGGAAGTAGCCTGTTTTGCTCCTTTACCGGTGGTGTGGCCCACCACGCTGACAGGATTTCCATTCAGCTCCTTCCCTCTCAGGCCTTATAAACAATCTGTCAAAGATCATCAGGTATTTAATGAAAGCCACTAATGTGAAAGAAAGAAAAACAAACATTAGGGAAGCAGAACTCAGAGGAAACAAAAATAATATAAACTAAAATGTGAACTATAACGAATATCTCAGAAAAGCATAACATCACATCCATGGAATAAGCAAGAATGCTATAGTAAAGAATGCTCAGACAATAAAAGAAACCCTCGGTATTATCAGCTAGGCCAGGATAGTAACTCATTCAATAGGAGAGATAAGAGATGTCCTGAATACCAATACTTAGGTAGCCCAGGGCATGGCAAAAGGCCTGGAGGAGAGCCTGTGATTGCGGGAGAAGCTGGTCACAAATACCTCGAAGTTTAGGTCCACAAGGTCAGAAAAGACACCTCCTGCCTTTTAATGGCCACAACAGCTTGGACAATAACCACTGTGTGAACATCTCCCCCAGGGCCATGGCAGACTTGAAATCGAAGGTTTCCTCAGATTTCCCGACTTTATAGTGTCTTGAGACTCTTGGAAGCTCCCACACGGGGAATGTGCTAAATGGTTTTCAAAAGACAATCACTGTCTCAGCACAAATGGGGAAGTGGAGCTTAGAGACACGTGTTGATTGATTTATAAAACAAAAGGCAAATGATGTTTCTTGTATTGATCCATTGTATGACAAATCCATACTTACTGTATTATGCTGTCTAGACTTGCTTATTTTGATAAGAGTGAGACTGGAAGCTGGGGAGTTAGATGTTCCCAGAGAGTCCTAGAGATAAATTATCTTCCTGAAAACAAATAATGCTTTCCTTCCATGATTCAGACCATGAGGAACCCTGGATACAATCCTAGGTGTTTTGGTTTCTAGACACTCAAAACTATAGGGACAGAAACCTGTGTCTTTATGGTCTTGTTTCACTATTACCTATGCTGTTATTACTTCCTTTTGTTGTTATCCTTCTTGCACTTCTCTTTACTAGTCATAATTAAAATCTACTTGGGTCAGTATTTGAGGCACATAAAGACATATACTTAAAACATACATTTAAAAATCCTCAGATCGACACAGATGCAGGTAAATTAATTTGTGCTGATGAAAGGAAGCAATGAGATGGAATTTGGGAAATGATGTTAATGTTCTCTAGCCAGTGGGTCAGTGCTGCTTCCTGAAGCCCCTGAGGCCCTTGAGAGCCCATGGTGAGGCAGGAGAATCCACTCCTGGTGCAGCTGATGCTTCTGTGTGTCTAGGGGCACAGAGGACTTCATCTCATGTGTGTCATGGCAGCATGACTACTAGGAGACTCTGCATGGTTTTGAGCAGGTGGGATGACACCTTCTGGCCCTCCAGAGAAGACCAGATGCTGGTGGTTCAGCAAAGCAATTCCTGTCTCCATTCGTGGTGCCGCCCCGTGTCCTGATGTGTACACCCTGTGCAACAGGACTGAAGCTCAAACAGCTGGTCCCTGCATGGCTCAGGGTCACTTCCTGAGGTATCATCCCCTGGCTCAGGAGCATGACTTGGCCCCATCAACCAGTGGCATTTTGGGGAACACTCAGGTGCATAGTTTGCTTGGAACTTGCACATAGATTGTATCTGCCAAATCTATCCTAATGTTTTCTTTCTTCAAAAACTAAAGATCATTTTCAAATCTTTTTACTGTTCATCATCCCTTTATTCTAAGCTCTGCCTAACTGGAATTATGTGAAAGAAGAGTTCTTTCTTCAGTCCTCTAATATCATCCAAACTCTAGAAATCATGTAAGTTTATACTATATTGCCTTGTGATGATTGTTGCCTTTTTTATTGAGTTTATTGGTACTTTTTAGGTAGACAGTACAGTTACATTCATCACTAGGCTCTTGTAACTTTACATGACAGGTCTTGGTTCTCATTTGTTTCCCCCATACCCCTGCCCTCCCTTCACCCCCTCCTCCCTTTCCTATCAGGTGCCTGACTAATACTGAGAAGAAATACTATGATTTAACATAC